AACGGACGTATTGTTAAAGTTATGACCGACAGAAAATTAGATTTAGAACGCGTTAAACTTGTGAATGGGGACACAATTTTCTTCGATAGACGCCGCCATTTTATTGTACTAAAGAGTAAACAAAAACCTGTGACGTCACGGTCCCGCCGAGTCTAGTGGCTTTTCAAATCTTTTTTTAAAAAATGGGTTACTGTACGTATGAATAAATCAATAAATTAATTAACGTCTTTAAATAAATTTGTGATTAACAGTCTGTCTGCATTAAAAAATTATTCTCTACCTACATACTATTTTACAGCTATCCAGATTGAGTCGAACATATCACAATAGTTGATCAGGCAAACAAACAAACAAACAAAAAAACAAACAAAAAAATAAATATTCAAACATGTAAACAAACTTGACTTTTAGTAGTATACTAGAATACCCGTCATCCCTTGGATAACTGTGGGTTTCGGGGGTCATCCATCAAAAAACATCACGTCTGTCACTCAGAGGCATAGCGAGCCTTCCCGGCGCCCGGGGACAAACTTTTCGATTTTAACCCCCCCCCCAAGATTTCGATTTTCAACCCCCCCCCCCTCAAACTTTTGATGTGCACCCCCTCCCCCCCCCCACTCAAACTTTCGATTTGAACCCCCCTCAACCTTTCAATTTATTTTTCCAAACCATTTTGGCACCCCAACATACGTACCCCCGCCCCCCCCCCCTTCACCTCCCCTTCCCCCCCCCCGCCTCCCCTCCCCCCCGCCTCCCCTTCCCCCCCCCCCGCCTCCCCTTCCCCCCCCCCGCCTCCCCTTCCCCCCCCCCCGCCTCCCCTTCCCCCCCCCCGCCTCCCCACCCGCCCCCCCCCCTCCTCGCTACGCTACTGCAGTGTCACTTATCGTCACAAAAACAGAGCCCACATTCAAAAATATGTTTCTTATCTTTTAAAAACACCGAAAACACCGATTTCGGACTATCCCTTCATATACTGACGTCACATGTGACCTACTCAACTCTACTTCACCTGCCCAGTGTCCCGCCAAGTCTCAGACAACATGTTTTTATCGTTTAAAAAACGATTCCAGCCGAGCATGTCTCTGACCACACTATCCTTTCATATGGTTAGGACAAAGAAACAGATGAACTCTACTTCACCTGCCCTGTATCCTGCCAAGTTCAGATAGGCAACTTTATCATTAACATCTAAAAAAAAAAAATTGAAAAAAAATATCATTTTTTATCATTAACATCTAAAAAAAAAAAAATTGAAAAAAAATATCATTGACATATTGGTCTAGAACCTGTACCACTCGCATGAGAGCGGACTACGCTACAAACTTAGCTATTTACTCGTGACGTCACAAATGAATTTTTATACTATACTTTGATGCAACTTGATTTCGAGCGTCTAGTCTAGAAGTAGTAACTTTCAAATTAAATTTTATCTTAAATTAGCCAAACAAAGATTTATATAAAATAATTAAGGCCTGAAATAGATTCTAGATGTATTAAGGCCTGAAATAGATTCTAGATGTAGAATTTACATTAAGTCTAGATTTAGAATTTACATTGAGTTTAGTGACCTAGATCTAGATCTAGGCTAGATTCATAAATTTCCTTCGACAGCTGATCTTTAGATCTAGAGAAATTTATTGTAAAACTAAATGAAAAAAGACAGTTGAAAATTGATATAAGTGTTGGAACGTAATAAATACAGCAAACGGACGTATTGTTAAAGTTATGACCGACAGAAAATTAGATTTAGAACGCGTTAAACTTTGGAATGGGAACACAATTTTCTTCGATAGACGCCGCCATTTTATTGTACTAAAGAGTCAACAAAAAACTCTGACGTCACTATCAAGGGACGTCACTATCCCCACAAAGTTTATTCAAAGTATTAACATTTAAAAATACGGTTAATTTAACAATGAATAAATCAATAAATTAATTAACGTCTTTAAATAAATGTGTGATTAACAGTCTGTCTGCATTAAAAAATTATTCTCTACCTACATACTATTTTACAGCTCTCCAGATAGAGTCGAACATATCACAATAGTCGATCCGGCAAACAAACAAACAAACAAAAAAAACAAAAAAATAAATATTCAAACATGTAAACAAACTTGACTTTTAGTAGTATATATAGATAGATAGATATCTTGATCCACCAAAACGTAAAGTATAACAGTGGCGTTATTAGGTCGGGTGTCACACGGCGCGGTAACTGAGAGTGACACCACAACCTTTTTCAATAAATTAGCATTTTATTTTTTTGGTTTGGTGTCACCCTCTCCCCTATTTATTTTTATTTTTAACTGGGTACACATTTTTTCACGGTAATTTTATGATTTTTTTAAAATTTGGTGTCACCGCCACGCCATTCAGACGCTACTGCTTTGTAATAATATTATGTAATAATATCATATATCATCAACCGCACCCTCTATATTATAAAACAGTATCAGACACCCGATACTACACACACACACACACACACACACACACACACACACACACACACACAGTAATACACACATAGACCCCAAAACAGGACAATAAATTACACATGGTTTGTTTCGAAGATGTTTATCATATAACATGTACCTTACTACATACGAATTAATTATGTTAATTGCTATCATTGGCATTAATATAATTGTATCAGCCTCACTTCCACCAAGTTGATCTGAGTGGTATCTTTTGGGTTTTTTTTTCTTTCAGAGAAAACAAAAAGATAGAAAAGAATATCAGTCTAAGAAGGTAATTGTGTGTTTAAAATGTGCTTAATTAGTTCGTAGATAATAGTTGCTCTCTGTACACTTTGGTCAAAATTACACACACACACACACAAACATATATATATATATATATATATATATATATATATATATATATATATATATATATATATATATATATATATATATATATATATACAATAATATACACACAGAATACTCATTTCGGACTTGTTCGAAATTTAAAAAAAATCACTAAAAATACTTAGTTTTTTTTTTTTAAATAAAAACAAGTTACAACAGGTCATTTGTGTGACTGCTATTAGTCTGTTTTGAAAATATCTGTTTTAACATGTTTGCTATGATGCCTCCATGAGTAAGTCGGTCGAAATAATATAAAGCATGAAAGCTGTGTATGTGTAATGGTTTCTCGCCTTATGTTTATTTTTATGTTTTTTTTATATTATTAGTTTTAAATGCATTTCCTTTTTATGCTTTGTTATTCTTTATTATGTATTTTAAAAAAAAATAATAATTAAGAGAAGTAATTGCTTTTTAATTTGTTTAGTGCAAATTTATTAAAAGGTGCTTAAGAGCACACATATTTGACTATTTAAAAAAGGGAAATAAGTCATGGAAGTGGTTTGAACAATTGCGTATCTTTCACGCGATGGGTTTATTTTCAAAAGAATTTTGCCGACAAAATTTTGATTGTAGGAGAAAGAAGACTTGAGATG